GGCTGCCGAGGTGATTATCTAGGCATTTCAAGAATGCCTTGTTTTCCCCCCCACTCCCTTTTTCTGGCAGCTAAAAAGACCAAAGGAGTCTCTTTTTAGTTGACATCTATTTAATAAAGACCCCCCAAGTTTTTTAAAAAGTCTAAAATGAAGGGCACCCTAATATTTCTACTCAAGCAGCTTGGCCTTCCAACCAGAGGTGGTATTCAACCGGTTCTGGAGAACTGGTAGCGGAAAGTTTGAGTAGTTCAGAGAACCTGCAAATATCACCTCTGATTGGCCCCGCCCCATCTATTCTCCGCCTCCCAAGTCCCAGCTGATCGGCTGGGTCTTCTTTGGTTGCCCTGCACAGGAGAACAGAGCTGGAAAGCAGGTTAGTGGAGTGAGGAGGGAATGGGGATTTTGCAGTAACCTTTTTCTGCCATGCTCACCAAGCCACGCCCACAGAACCGGTAGTAAAAAAAAATTGAATCCCACCCCTGCTTCTAACCCTCTTATGTATCCTAAAGGTGTGTAGAGATTCTCAGCCATCCAGGTCATGGTTGTCCCAAAGGTGTGCTTTTTTTTTTTTTTTTTCAGGAGGCAACTGGACTTTCTGGTTTTTTTAAAAAATTTGCTTTTGAAGACATTTCACTTCTCATCCAAAAAGCTTCTTCAGCTCTGGCAGAACCAGGGATGGGCTGCTGGGGGTCGGGACAGCCCCTATGCTAAGATTCTGTGCAGTTTGGAGACCCCCCCCCCAAATCCCTGGCTGGCCTCACCCACCCCTTCCCCTCCCCTCCCAGGAGTCCCCAGGTGGCCTATTTTGGATGCAGGTAAGTGCAGGTCGCGCATGGAGGCTTGGGGAGGGCGAAAAACGGACTTCCTGGAAGTTTGGGAAGGCCAGAAATGGGCCCGTTTCCGGCTTCCAGGAAAGCCTCCGGAGCCCGGGGAGGGACAAAAAACAACCCCCCCCCCATGGTGCAGGAGGCCAACTAGGCCACGCCCACCATGGCCACGCCCACCCAGCAACCAGGCAGATAACCCCTTGCTAAAACTTTTGAAGCCCAGCCCTGGACAGGATCATAGTAGGGAATGGAAGGGTTTATATTCCTTGCAGACAGCTGGTCATTTGCATCCTGGGAAGCGAAACGAAAAGAAAAATGAAAAAAATGAAGACCGTCCAGTTGCCCCCTGAAAAAAAAGCACCTTTGGGGATATCTTTAAAAGGTTGCATTTCCCTAGAAAAGACTTTTCCAATGAGGAGGAGGAGAACGGCAGCACCTCTTGTTTGCTCACAAATTGTTAGATAAGCATTACTTTTCTTCTGGAGATGATTTCTACTCCTGGAGTCAAAAGACCATGAAATTTAATTTTACGCCTATTTGACCAGGATCAATTTGGGCTCCAAATCAATGTGGGAGATAAGGGTCAATGGGCGCCAGGCGGTTGGGCAGCTGGAGCTGCAGAGGGCGGCAGGAACTCAGTGGCCATAACACTTGAAAATTGCCCAGGAAATCCACCATTAAGGTGAGTCCCTATCGCCCATCCTCGCTGGCTCCTTGTCGACAGTGTTCTCCGGTTGCCAGGCACTAAAGCAAACCCAAGCTTTGTTTACGGAGTCTACGATTACAATGCAGGCTCCAAATATTTGCTAGTCTGCAATCTTGCAGCTCCACTATAAATACTTTGGCTCCAGGTGGATGGGCGGAGAACTAGCAGAGGAGGCAGAGGGGGATTACCTGCGGAGAATCAGGTAAGCATCCTGGAGATTATTGGTGGGGGGGGGGGGGGGGGACTGGCCTCTGAGTCTCTGGCTTCTTGGCTAAAGATCATTTAGTGGAGCAAAATGAAGGGTAGAGCTTTAATTAAGCATCTAGAGACATGTCTCCTCTTTGGTCTTAGAATAGAATAGAATAACAGAGTTAGAAGGGACCTTGGAGGTCTTCTAGTCCGACCCCCTGCTTAGGCAGGAAACCCTATACCATTTCAGACAAATGGTTATCCAATCCCTTCTTTAAAACTTCCAGTGCTGCAGCATTCATAACTTCTGGAGACAAGTTGTTCCACTGATTAATAGTTCTGTCAGGAAATGTCTCCTTAGTTCTGGGTTGCTTCTCTCCTTGATTAGTTTCCACCCATTGCTTCTTGTCCTGCCCTCAGGTGCTTTGGAGAATAGCTTGACTCCCTCTTCTTTGGGGCAGCCCCTGAGATATTAGGACACTGCTATCGTGCCCCCCCTAGACTGGACATACCCAGTTCCTGAAAGCATTCTTCATATGTTTTGGCCTCCAGTCCCCTAATCATCTCAGTTGCTGTTCTCTGCATTCTTTTTTTTGAAAACAATTTTATTGGTTTTTAAAAACAAACAAAACAGACAAAACATAAAAGCATCCAACTTTCTTCCATAAATATACGAACAGTGTATCGGTTGGTTTACCAATTTTTTGTGCATCCATCTCAATTACAATTACATTACATAATATCTCATATTGTCAATCAGAAATTATATACCCTAGTATCACTATTAAACAATCATTTGACCATGATTTTATTCATTCATGCTTTACGAGATAACTATAGTTTACTTAATTTATTTTATAACAAATCATATAGTCATACCAAATCTATCTTAATAACATTTTATAAATATAATATCAAAAAAGAAAAGAAATAAATCTTTATATATTCGTTATTTTCTAAAATTCTAAATTCTAAATATTCTATTATTGTATTTTATTATCTAACCATTGGTAGAAAAGATCCCAAATTTTATAGAATTGTTTATCCTCTTGTTCTCTAATTTCAAATGTCAATCTACTCATTTCAGCACATTCCAATATTTTCTTAATAATTTCTTCCTGCAATGGTATTTTCTCATTTTTCCAGTTTTTAGCAAATACAATCCTAGCCGCTGCTAATACATTTACAATCAGGTATTTCAAATCTTTACTATATGTATCAGGTAAGATTCCCAATAAAAAGATCTCTGGTTTCAAGTCTATGTGTTTCTTTGTCATTTTTTCCAACCACATGCGAATTTTAGTCCAGTATTTTCTAGCATCCTCACAAGTCCACCACATATGGTAATATGAGCCAGGTATCTGATGACATTTCCAGCATTTTTCAGATTTATTCTTGAACATTCTTGCTATTCTTGTCGGGGAAAAGTGCCACCTGTAAAACATCTTATACAAATTTTCTTTATAAGCTGTTGACATTGTCATTTTATAATGCCCTTATCAGGTGGAAACAGAACAGATCATAGTAGTAAAGGGGTCCTTGTTTAGCCTGCCTTGTGCAATGCTCATTTTCTATCCACAGGGCCTGAACAAGACAGCAAGGAGCATGCAGAATAATATTTTTAGGTGGCCTGAACGATATAGTGCAGGGGTGTCCAACCTGGGCAACTTTAAGACCTGTGGATGTCATCTCCCAGAATTCCCCAGCCAGCCCAGGATGAAAGAGAGTGGCAAATAAATTCAATAGTCTCTCTCTCTACATTTTGCCCCCCCCCCCCCCCCCCAATGAAACAACTTTTGCGAAAGAACTTGGGTCTTTGGTCTATTCTGGGTTTGAAAACCTTGCTTTTAACAGAATAAGAGAGTTGGAAGGGATCTTTGAGGTCTTTTAGTCCAACCTGTCAGCCTTCAAGATTTTTCTCCCTTTGCTTTGCATCTTTCGGCTGTCATAAGTAACGGGGGGAGGAAGGGGAGAATGGTTATGGGAAGTGAGCTGGAGGTGTTACAAACCAGAACTGTATAAGCTGGGG